AATTGTTCCAGGCTGTTATCCAACGTGCACATACTGCCGAACAGCTGATTGGTATGGGGTTCACTGCTGAGCAGGTGTTTCCTGCGCTCCTTAAAAGCCAAGGAGATCGTGTAAAAGCTTTGGATACACTACTCGGATCGCGTTAAATCCCACTTGAGTTTCTTAAAATTCCATACGAGCCAATAGCTAGCTTCTGTAACTATTTACGGGTGCTTAACATAGTAATTATTAATTCAATTCAATCACATTGAGGGTTAATTTGACTTGTTGAGAGAATTTCAAAATAGAGCTTAAGAATCACTGCTTAACTGCGTGTACTTTCTTTCTTTGGGAAGAAGTATTGTAAAATTCCCAAAGTTATTAACTGTTTTTGCCTTTATAATGGTTACGTGTCCCAAGCGGAAGTTACTTCTACAATGCCTCTAGGATTGCATGAAGCTTAGTGCCGAATAATTTTTTCAAGACTCTTTCTTTTGTTCCATTAGCCCTTTTGGATATTGATCCTTCAGTTACTAGCGTTATAGAAGATCCTTACTCTACTGCTTTTTGCAGTGGAGTTGTTGAAAAGATGTACTTATGGAAGCTTTTTTTACTGTGATTTTCATTCTTGCTTATAGAAGATATCGGTTTTGTTCTCGCCGTTGTTGTTCTCTTTTTTCTGCATGGCTTACCTGAATAAATCTTTACTATAACTTCAAGTTAAGTTGAACTAAAAGTGCAGTGTATAATGAATCGTTCAAACGCGGAAAACCGACTTCTAAGTTTCAGATAAAGTAATATTTTATGCTTGAAGTTGGAAAAAAAAATTCTAGTAAGGATAAAGATTCTTGAAAAAAAAGTCCAAAGTTACAATAATATTCAAAGAAGCTGGGGAACTAGTTTTGTTGATTTGTTTATTTATTGATTTTAATTTTGAAATATTGATTGGTTTATACCAAATCGTTCTTTAAGCAGTAAGACATCTGAAAAGTTGACAACGATAAAAGCCTTTGTTTAGTTAGAGGAAAATATACTGGAAATATGTAAATGGGGAAGAACGATAGTCATTAGGATAATGATTGAAAAGAGGAAAAAAACAATTTGTGATGTTGAACATTTGGAAAAGTTAACATTGAGCTTCTGTTCTCATACTTATCGAATCTAAGGCAATCTGCGGTTAAATGTCAAAGCTTTGTAGAGCTGATCAATATCTATCAAATGCACGTGTGTCACGGCCAACTCGTTAGCATCGGAAACGGCCGAAGGCACCCGGGTAAGAGAATTTATTGCTTTTCAATCTAGCCTGATGGACTGTGCACTGTAATTATTTCACGGTGACCTTGCAAAACGCTCTAAAATAGTCCATGTTTATTGATTATATCGATTTTCCCTCTTTTTATTTGTATATGGTACTTTCTTGTACA